CAGGGTTATTCATTCAATGCAGCACTGCTTCAGAGCAGGTTTTCTCAAGGCGAGATGGGACAGCCAAATTTTCTGGATTTCTGCAAGCATGGAAGGGAAGAGACCTGTTACACAGAAGCAGCTGAGGTGCTAAGATGACAGACAGGAGCAGCTTGACAGAAAAGGAGGAGGAGCTGTCAGACTAACTGCAATAAGGCCAAAATTGATTTAGGGATGGAGAATGCAGATATGTTAAGCAGTACGCCATCTTCAGAGAAAAGCCTTCCCCGTTTTCAAGAAGAACACTGCCTTGCAATGCCTCCAGAAGCCTGCCACCTTTGACTTTTTCTGCTGCCACAAGCACCTCCTCACTGAATGGGCTGCTCTAATCAAGAACCACAGTCCCCCATTCGAAAAAGGCAAAAATATTGTCTGTTTCAAGCCAGAGGAACAACAACCCCTGTTACCAGAAGGCACTAGAGCTGTGAAGTCACCGAACAATTCTGGTTGCTGAAGGTCTGCTCAAAGAAGGGCTGTGCTGAGCACTGCTCTCCAGGAGAGCCCTCAGATGTGGACAGACTGCACCCTGGGAGCAAATGGGATCAGAGGGAAAGCAGTTATGGGATGAGCTGTTACCATCCCTTGGAAAGCTTCTGGTAACCATTTATAAGTGGCTGGCTACAGATGAAAAACTGAGTCGGCATTGCAGCTGAACAGCATTCCTCCACAGCTCCTCTGCATTAATCACTCTGCTGGCTGACTTATCTCTCTACATCAATTAAAGACACAATGTAAATACTGGATTTAAAAGCTGCAGTCATGTTCACTGGTCCATGCGTGATTTATCTGCAAGATGCACACAAACACACAGCCAGCCCAGAGAGCCTCTCGCAGCCACTGCAGAATGAAAACCATCTCAACCTGCATGCTGCTGACTCACGGAGGAGAGCATGGTTTTGACTTCAGGAGTGTGTCTCACCTGCTTGGTTGCTGAGTGGGGAAGGTAATTTTGTCCTTCTCCCTTGCCTCTCTGCTGTCAAGTGCAGGCCCAGTGAGGTCCTCTCCTGCCTCTCCTCTCTCAGCCGAGTAGAGGAGATGGTCCAGCTGCTGGAGAATAAGCAAGCAGCAATGCTTCACAGAAGGATAAGTCCCTCTAGGACCTCTGTCTGTATCTTGAGAGGGGATATGCAAGGAGCCATGGGCCCCATCCTGCTCCCCTCTTTGCACCCCTTCTCTCAACACGCAGGTAGAGGCTTTGCCTCAGCAAGGGTTCTACGCTGCAGCAGGGAGGATGACAAGGAAGGATGCACCACCGATGCAAAGGCTGGCTTGCACACACACATGCTTGAGGTGATCTGCCCGTAACTCCTGCTTACATTGAGCAACCCCAGAAAGTTGCAGGCTGCTCTGCTGATACCGAGTTCAGATGCATGGTGGCTCCCAGAGGAGGGCTAGAAACCAGCAGAGTATCCTTACATATTGCAACAGGAGCTCCTGAGTTGCTGAGGTCAAGCAGGTCAAGCACTGATCTCTGCTAAAGGCAAACATTTCAGAAAAGAAAGGCAGGGTACCAGGTACCATGTAAAGCTACCTAGCCAGACAATCAGTGGTGGCACCCAAGAAGATGCATCACTGAGACCTCCTGAAAATTTGTCCCCATGCTTTACAATATCATCCTGGGCTTGGGGAGGGTGGGGGGGAGGAAAGGAAGCAAATTACAGTACTGCTTAGTAGATCACCCTATTCCCAAGGGAGTCCAAGAGCCTTACGCATTCACACAGGATCACCTTTTTCTCTTGGCCTCTGAAATGTGCATTTTCATATGGGTTCCTGGGACGCCTATAATTTGTAAAGCAACAGAGCAAAATGGCGTTAATTAAAACTTGAGCAGAACCTGACAAATTCTTTGTAAACTAATCTGCATGCCTCAGCAGTCTCAGCACAAGTACTCCAAGCTTAGCAAATGTTTAATGACTAAAAAACACAGCGAAAAACTGCATTTGCTAAGCCCAGATGAGACTTTAAAAAAATATCCTAATCTGTTTACAAGTATACATAGAAATAGAGAATAAATAATCAAAAATTAAAAAAAAAATTTTTACAGTTCACTTTTTGATTTTTCCTATTGCTTCAAATCATCTCTTCTGTAATGACTTTGACGAGGCATTATCCAGTTTCTGTGTCAAAGCTGAGAAATGCATTTTACAGGAATAATTTCTTTTTGAGCTCAGCAATTTAACTGCATTCTACAGCAAACAGAATATTTTAAAAGCTGGGGGGAAAAAAGTTAAATGTCACCTCTTTGCCTTTTAAAGCACTGCACTCTGTAATCACAAGAGGTTTGCTGGGGATGTTCCAGCCTTCCTTCAAAACACTCACCTAGACAGCCCCGCCCTGACAACCAAGCAGGGCCCATTTACAAATCTGCAAGTATTTTTGTTTCTGCTGCATGTTTCCTAAAGCCTTTATCTAAGACAAGCCAAGTTTTCTTCTCAAATGTTCATTTGGCATTCCCCGAATGAATTTCTTCTCTTTCTTCTGCTTGTTTGTTTTAAACCACCAGAGCATGATGAACAGCTGCAGCGATCTCTTGGCTTTGTTTCCCCTCCATGAGTTGTTGATCCACACTTGATTAATTCACACAATCCCTCCTAATAAGCACCTTCATGCACCTGTCTACACTGAGTCTCGTAACACAGCATGCTGCACCACATCACTTTGGATCCAGCAGAAGAAGGCATCTCTCTTCTTCAGGAAGAGGACCGAACATTTGCTCCATTGTAGTAAGCATGCACAACTTGTAAAGCCCCAGCGCTTGGGAAGCGCTGACAGTTTCTATTCTGGACTCTGCAGTTTTTAGCAGTGTTGCCAGGCTGACCTCCTGACTTCTAGCGTGGAGCGGCCACTCTCAGTGGCAGATGCCAGATGTGCGCACGTCCCATCATCACATGTGGAAACAGTCCCATCTGGTTTTGCTGCTGGGCTGCAACTGCAAGGACTGAGTTGGTCTAACGCCTCCTGGCATCTGAGAGTACGTCTTTGTTACAGCCAACAGTGAGCACAACACTGGAAAAGCTGTTGCACAGTGGTCCTCAGTGGAGGACGCAAGTTATGCAGTGCCTGTTAAGGTCCTTCTCTCTCTGATCGCTCCCTGTCCTGCCCACTGAACTGGTGGTTCAACAAGCCAGATTAATTGGCTTGGGCCCTTCGGGAAGTCTGGCAGAGCACAAATCCACTCAGGTGGTAATTTTGTTGATGTGCAGCCTTTGACTACTTGGGCTAGAACACCAGCACATTTCTAAACAGTCCTTGCATTGATCTTGACGTTTCTTTATGCATTACGAATTACATCCATCAGGAAGGCTGCCCTGTGCCAGGAGCAACAAAAATAACAGCAACAAACAATTTTCAACTGGCCCTCAACATTACCTCCCAAGGCGCTCTGCAGGAAAGGCCCTTTACTCTGTATAGGGGAAGGGCAAGGCAAAATGCGAGAAACCTGTCTGAGCTCACCTAGCAGGCCAGCATCAAACCTGAGATTAAAACCCAGGGTGTTAAATAACGGTTGAGCTGGTGCTCTCTGCAGAGCCACAATGCCTCCCAGGCAAGAGGGGCTGGGAAGCAGGAAAATTATTTCTACATCATTCTACTCCCTGTGCCTGAAGACCACTGTCCACCCTGAGGGTCTGTGGCACAACCAGGACGATTTCAGGTATGGAAATCTCTACCTATGGTGGTCTCTCCATGTCTTGCACTCCCCTCTGAAAGCCTGGCACAGGGTACACAGGAGCTGCAAGGTAGGCTGGTTCCCTGCAGGTGGAGGGTAGGATCTGCCAAAGCTGAGGCTGCCTTGTGCTGGCCTCCAGGCACGGAGTAGCCAGAAGAGCATCAAACCCTGGCCTGCAGTGAGGATACTGCTGTCCCCTTCTCCAGTCTGCACCAGCCTCTTCTGCCTATATGTGAGCTAAAGCAGAAAAATGGAGAGCTGAGGAGAATCCCTTCCTAAAGAGAAAAGGCAAAGTGCTTTGTCACTAGCAGAGAAATTGCAAACACCTATCTGTGCACACCAACAAGGAAACTCTTGGAAGGGGGAGCATCAGGGTACAATATATCGTAAGGTTCTATATAGCAGCTAAATGAGAGCATATAGTTAAAAACTACAGAGAGGCTCTTTGTCTTTAAAATACAATGCTAATGGCTGACATCTACAGCAGCCTCCTCCACAAATAAATGTAAAGCCCAGGTAGTCATTCTGACTCGGTAATCCCTAATCCCCCTGACCAGAGACAGCATGGGTTTGGATACCTCCCAGCCAGCTAACTCAGGAAAAGACTCTTTGCTTGGAAGGAAGCAAACAAATTATTCCAATGCTGACATCCCAGCATTGCCAGAGGTTTCCAGGTTTCATTCCTTCACATTCTTGTGCCCAGGGTTGATGCAATAATGATAAGCAACTGACACTATTTACTGTAGCACCCGCTGCTAAGTACCAGTACCAAAGTGCTCTGCATTGTCAGGAAACCAGTGTTCCCAGTACCCTAGGCTCTAGCCAGCCTTCTGCAGCTGCCCATTTGCACAGCTTTTCTCACAGCGCCAGCTTGCATTCACAGCACTGCAGCATTTGTCCAGTTACTTTTCCCACCCACCATGTAAATAAAGTGACAAGTGACTTGAGAGATGAAAGCCACATGCCGACGGGGACGGGAGGAGATAAACGGGGAAGAGACAGAATATATGTCACAGCGCTCCACCCCTCCCCCAGCTCCTTTAGAAACAGAACAACACAAAAAAGTCCTGATGCTTCCACTGCTAAATGATAAATTAACATAGCAAAGCAAAGCAGGAGCAAAGACATCTCCCACAATCTGCACAGAAACAGCAAAATATACAATAGAAAATGTCACTAACACCCCATTCAGGCAGATGCACTTATTTTTTTGTGAATGACAGGTTATTAAATGAAAAAAATTTGACCACCAGTACTTTGCTGCATGGCTGTTCCCCTAGTTGTCATTTCCATCCTAAGTGACCTTCTGCTTAATGCTGGGTGTTTCTGGCCTGTAGTCCTTCCTCTCTGAGACATTGCGTTTCACCTTGGCACTAACTGGAGACTCCTGATTCAATGAGGGACTCGAGTGGGATTTCTTCAGTCCTGGTGCATCGTTCTCTCCTCCGCTCAGCAGCTCCTTCACCCCTTCTTTCAGGAGGCCAATATAAATCTCATAGCGATTTTTCTGTGAAATTAAAAGAAAGGCTCAAATCAGTCTGTAAGAAATTCTGCAGAAGCACTTGACAGACTGTCTGGGTAACTTAATGCTTTCTACTGGCCTTGAAAGCCAGGAGCCTAATGTGGATGAGAACAATGGTGCCTGATGTGGACACAAACAATGGTGCCTAATGTAAATTACACTGTACAAAAAGGATTTCAGGCAGGCTGAGCCCAGGGGTGCTGTGCAACTAGAGGCACTTGGTTCTCAGCACACAAAAGCTGGTGCTCTGCTGAACTGTGGCTCACAGATTCCTGGAGCGCATGGTGATTTCCGAGTAACACCACAGAGCAAAAGCTCATTGACCTTAGTCACACTGAGTCATATTCTGTACTCAGACATACTGAGATGTTATGTGCCCCATGCAGGCATGGGGATAAAGCGAAGCAAACGAAAGGACACCAAAAATTCAGCTCTGGTTGGCTACAACTCTCCCCTGCAACCCACCACTCCCACCAGCAGGTCCTGCTTTCCTTGCTTCACCCCATGGGGGAGAAACCAAAGCAGGGTTCTGCTAAGCTCTGACTGTACAAGCTCAGGCACCATTGAGACTGTAGAAGCATGCTCTGCAACGTCAGACCTTAACAAAAAGGAGCAGATGAGAGGGCTATGACAGCAGAACAGCACGTCGCCCTGACAGGGCTACTCACGCTGAATGATGGTTGCTCTCTGTCCAGACACTTGTATTATTTATCTGGAAAAAAGTTCACTTTACTGTGCCCCATGCCCACTTGTTCTGTTCCTTGTCTGGAGCAGAGCTTTCCCTCTTTAAGGGGAAGATTTTGTTCCATGTGCCACAATAACATCTTTCTGCACAGAACATCTCGGCAACCATCAAAATGAGGGTACATTAACAGAAGATTCCTGCAGGGCCTCAAAAACAGAAGCTGGGGCAGGAGGTCCTGAGAACAGAGCAACCCACCTCCTGGGATTTTGTTTAATAACCTGCCCCTGACATATCCACTGAAGACGTGGTGCACGCATTGTAATTAAGGTGATCTCAGTGGGCTGGGGGCCAGGGAAGGAGAATGTAAACATCCATACTGATTGTTAATTTATATTTCAAAGTGCCAAAACAGCTGCCAAACTATTATGTTCTTGACAGAGGAAAAAGTATTTAAGAAAAATTCTTCCAATTTATAATAGAATAATACAGTTCTGGTAATAACACTTATTTGAGGGCAAGAAGTCAAAAAGCTTGGTTACTGCTTTGAAGTGTGGAGCATAAAAGGAGAAAAAAAGGAGAGAACATGACTGGGTTTCCAAAAAGTCCTTTGAATAAATAAAACCTTGTAGAGGAGGTTTATAAAATAATCCACCTAAAAATGAAATTAAAAAGCATTCTTATCAATTTCATATCTGGAGCTCGAGCTCTACAATGTGAGAGACAAACACATGAAGCAGGTAAGATGGGTCATTCAATAAAAAAGGAAATGGAGAAACAGCAAGTAGAACACCCTGATGATGATGCACTGGCCTGATGAATGATTCATCACACAACAAATGGGACACCTCTGCAAAAGAGAAGACAAGCCAGTGCTCTAAGCCTGGGATCAGCGTAATACTAATCAAGGGAGAGAGGGACTTTACTGCCATACGGACTTCTGCTTTTTGTTGGGCCAGTACACACCATCAGGGTCACAAGACCTGGCAATCAGAATGGAAATCCAAGACCAGTTTCTACCCTGCATATCTGCCATTTTGCCCTGGTCTTTGTGGGCCCATGATTTCTATCACACTTAAGCAATGTATTCGGAAGTTTCTATTTTGATTTTAACTGCAACAACTTGCTCTTTTACTGATCTGACATTTGAAGCTAGGTATGAAAGCTGCTGGAAATTTTTCCTTAAAAGAAAGTAATCTGTTAAGAAAGTAAAAACACAAAAGTTAAAAAAGTTCAAAAGCTTTTGAAACATTATCTCTGAAGACTGAATGCACATAATAAAAAGGAGATAAGGTAGCCACCCATCAAATTTCTAGCTTCACCTCCCACCTGACAGCACTCAAAAGACCTCTCTCAAACCATAAATTTGCTGCAACAAGCAACCATCACATGGATCAGTACTTCCTCAGAGAGCAAGCAAATAGGAAATGTTCTTTCTTTGATGTCTACAAGCAAAGACACCAGCAAGAAGAAACTCTCCTGGCTGCATCCCTGAACAAAGACCAGGCACCTCCTGGTTCGCCTCCCCTCAGAAGGAAACGCCATCTCACTTGTCCTTCATCAAGAACAAGAATGAAGGGAACATTGGTGGGTGAACAAAAAGGCATTACATGGTCCTATGGAAAAGGAATCTGGCTTCTTCCTTCCTAATAGGACTATGCTGCTTCCTCTGGGACTTGCAGACCCTTTTGGTGTGCTTCTGGAAATGCACTAGTATGGCCTTTTGTACATGGATGCAAGGCCTGGTCTGCAGACTCAGCCCTAACAAACCAAGTACAAAATACTTCATCTGCCTCTTTCCTTTTTTTTTTTGCTTTGACCCCATGCAGGAAGGTCCATCACACAACTTTGCTCTGAAGGGAAGGTGAGGAAATCCCAAAACCAGGGGAAAGTTTCCATTCAGGATTTTCATATAGATATTTTTCTTTTTTTTTTTTGTTTTGTTTGTTTGTTTGCTAACTGCCTAGTGACAGTTCAGCATGACCTGCAAAATCTATGCTAACGGTGAAGGTAACACAGCATTGCACAGCAGCACCCCAATTACCATCTTTCGCACACAACTGAAAACTGAAGTTGGTGCCACCAGTTACCTGCATATTTTTTCCTGCAGTGCTGGTCACAAATCTGAACTGCACAGCTGAATTGCTGTTCAAGGTTCTCACTAGAGAAGAAGCCCACACTTCCTGGGCTGTAGTGGCTCTGCTTTGTACCAAGGTACTTGAGGAATATTTCTCTAAAGACTACCATGACAAAATTGACAGAAAACAGAAAAAAAACCCACAAGAATATTCTCCTCCATCAATCTTTCTAAAATCATCTAACACTCCAGCATACATTTCATCCTATCATGATTCTAGAAGTGAAAGCCAAGAAACTCTTTGCTCTCCAAAGTTGGAAAAGAACCCAACGAAGCGAGAGTGTGTGGCTTGCTCTGAACATCTGAGTACTGTGTTCAAAACTGACATTGTGCCATTGATCACAAGCCTTTGATCTGAATTGTTCAGCCAGTTTCCAAACCACCATATTGCCGATTTCCTGCTCTACACTTTATCAGCTCGTCTATGAGGATGTCAGAGGAGACAATGTCAGAATTCTTGCTAGAGTCAAGAACAAGGAACATTCACTGCTCTTCCCTCATCTATTACACCAGACATCTCATTGTAAAAAGCTATCATGTTGGTCAGGTATGATTTCCCCTTCATAAAGCCATGCTGATTACTCACAGTCACCTTCTTGTTTTTAATGTATTTGGAGGTGATTTCCAGGAGAATTTGCTCCATCACCTTCCCACAGATGGAGAAGCAGCTGACTAGCCTGTAGTTCCCTGGACTTTCCTCCTTGTCCTTCTTGAAGACAGGAATGACATTTGCTTTCTTCCAGTCCTCAGGGACCTCTCCTGATCACCATGACCTTTCAAAGGTAATCAAAGAATGGCCTTGCAATGACATCCATCCAGCTCCCTCAGCACTCATGGTTACATCCCATCAGACACCATGGACCTGTGTCCAGTTTAAATATTCCCAAACTTTACCATTCTTCACCAAGGCTAAGTCTTCCTTGCCTCAGATTTTCTCACTGAGCTCATATATTTGTGACTGCTGAAGGCCGGTCTTACCAGTAGAGGCCCTGATAAAGAAGACATTGAGTACTCTGGCCTTTTCCTGGTCTTTGTCACCAAGTTCCCTGTCCCATTATGGGCCCCAACTAGGGCCCCGATTTTCCCTAGCTGTCGTGCTGTTAACATGCCTGTGGAAACCTTTCTTCTTGCCCTTAACATCTTTTGCTAGATTCAACTCCACATGGACCGACCTTTGGCTTTCCTAAACACAGTCCTACATGACTGGACTGTATCTCTATTCCTCCTACATCATCTGCCACTGCTTCTACCTCCTGCACACTTCCTTTTTATGGTGGAGTTTTGCCAGGAGCAACTTGTTCATCCATGAGGGCCTTCAGCCACCTTTGCTTGGTTTCTTGCTTGTCAGGGTGAACCATACCTGAGCTTAAAGGGACAAGCTCTCTTGCCCCCAAGGCCATATATCTAATGGAATTAGAACAGGCTGAAGTCAGCTCTCCTGAAGTCTAGCGGTCCTACTTTTTATTTTGATTCCTCCTTTCAGGATCATGAAGTCCAACATCTCATGGTCACTGTTGCCACGATTGCCCATGACCTTCATATCCCAAACCAGTTCTTCCTAGTTTATAAGCATGAGGTCCAGCAAAGTGCCTCTCCTTGTCTGCTCCTCAGTCACCTGTGTTAGAAAGTTGTTATCAATGCACTCCAGAAACGTCCTGGATTGCTTGTGCCCTGCTGTGTTGTCCCTCCAGCAGATACAGGGCTGGCTGAAGTTCCCCATGAGGACGAGGGCCTGCAAATACAAAGTTTATTCCATTTTTTTGAAAATGGCCTAGCAGACAGCCACCACAATGACGCCCATCTTGGTGTGCCCACTAATCCTGACCCACAAGCTCTCAGCTGGCTCATCACCCCTCCTTAGGCAAAGTTTCCTGTGTGCCTGATACTCAACTCACACAAACAGTGATTCCCCCTCCTTGCCATACTTGTCTGTCCTTTCTAAAGGGTCTGTATTCACTCATGGTAGCACTTCAGTCACGTGAGCTATCCCATCATCTCACTTCAGCCCTGTTTTATTGCTTACATAGTCTCTCCTACTGACATCATTGTGTACACTTTGCTTGCCAGCCCTGTCCACCATTCCTCCTTTGATTGTTGGTCACATCATTTCAGGTATGTGGGATGTGGAGGAACAAACTGGCCAACTGTGTTCCCTATACAAAACAGTAGCAAAAGATCTATGCAAAACATCTCAAGCTCACTGTATGCAATGCAGCCCAGAGCTACACCAAAATCAAACCCAAAACAGCAGTTACAGCTTTCTGCAAAAGGAAAAGCACACAGCTAGTCAAGCCCAGGAGTAAAAAGAGCTTCTCCAAAAGAAACTCATACAATGCATGGTAGGAGGCTTACTTCAGTTCTGGAGGTTTGTGTTGCCTCCAGCATCTCCTCTGGTGGTCTCCCTGACTTCTGTCTTATCTGCTCTTTCTCTTCTTCAGACTATGGATTTTCCTTGCCAGGCAGTGTCTGTTTAGAGTAGGATCCTTTCAGATCCAAGACAATGATGACATGTAGTTCTGGGGGAAAAAGCTCAAAGGTGCAGCCATGAAAAACACCAGGTATCTGCTGGGTTGACAACCCCCTCCCACATAGCCCTACAGTGTGGTAGACACCATGATGGATAAAACCTGATGTCAGATACTCAGAACAATCTCCTATGCCAGCTGCCTAAGTTGCATCCCTCATTCCTGTGATCTTTAATTCTACCCTTTTCATGCTCTTCCTGACATCTAGCTCACTGGTACACAATACAAATGGCTCTGATGAGGCATGCCTATAATAACAATTTTAGAAGAGCAGTTCCTTCAGAACATACCAATGGAAGACAATTACTGTGATGTGCACTACTGCAGAATGCAGTCATTCTGTAAAGACTGAGGAGTTAACACACACTATGCAACACATAGTCTTAAAACAGGTGACAGTTCCTGCTTGAAGACCTGATCATCTCTTGTTCTGGTTTCAGCTGGGACAGAGTTAACTCTCTTCATAGTAACTAGTAAGAGGCTGTGTCTTGCATTGTGCTGAGAAGAAGGCTGATAACATACTGATGTTTATACTTGCTGCCAGAACAGTCAAGGACTTTTCAGCATCTCTGCTGTGCCAGTGTCTGCAGGTGCAGGAGAAACTGGGAGGGAGCACAGCCTCAACTACTAGCCTAAGATTCAACCTTAGGTTTAGGACTGAGACCCAAATTGGTCAATGGTATATTCCATATCATGCACATCATGCCCAGTATATAGATGAGGATCTGTCCAGAAGTGCTCTCTTCAGGGTCATCTCCCTGTCTCTCTCCAGGTCACCCCTCTCTTGGGGTCATCTTGCTCTCTTGGTCAGCTCTCCGTCTATTGGACGCTTGGGCTTTTATGTCTTTTCTGGGATCACAGTTTCGGCACACTCTCTGCTATGGGATCATTAGCAGGGAACAGGCTGAGCTTTAGTCATCAGGTGGTGAGCATTTGCACTGTGTATCGCTCATTTTTATATTTGTATGTATTACTATTATTGTTACAATCATCATCATTATTATTTTTATTATTATCATTATTTTCAATGTTATTGTAGTTTAATTATTAAAATGCTTTTATCTCAACCCACTAGTCTCTTTTCCCTTTATCCCTTTAATTCTCTCCCTCATCCCTGGGAGGGGGGAGGGTAAGCAACTGGCTGTGTAGTGTTGTGCCAGCAGCTCGGGTTAAACCACAACATCTCTTCAAATAGATACATCCGGCAAGGACAGAGGGTCACATTTTTATCCTCCTTTTTACAGAGGAGGAGCTAAATTTATGGCTAAGGACACAGGAAGTCCTTATTTGAAAGAGGAGCCACATCCCAGCTTCTGGGATTGCTGTGATATATCTAACAAGAACATACTCCTGTTGAAGTAAGGTGAAAAATGCGGAACTTTAGGACTGCACCCAAGTATAAGACCAGCTGCCACATCCACAGCCAAATGTTTTCCATACATACCTCAAACTCCAGATAGTGGTCCTTCAGTTTGTAATCATCTACTTCCTTGCCTTTGAGCTTCTTGTCAGGAGGATAGGAGCGATGTTCAGCAAGCTCAGTGGAGATCTGTTTCAGCTTAGCTTCATGGGACTTCAGCTGTTCATCCTTCAGAAACACATTAGGCACTAAAGTGTCAGAATCTAAAACATTCAATAAGCAAAGGAAAATAAAGAGATCCCTGTATAATAATACCAACTAGTTTATTTTTCTTTCTCTCTTTCTTTGCTTTAACTAATTGTAATTAGTTTGATAAGGTCTGTTATCTCAGAGCTCTCTACCCAGCAGCTCTTTCAAAGGCACTCAAGCAAAGTGGCCAAGTTTGCAGAAAAACTCTGCAGCTAGCAGATGCCACTGGGAAGGATAGAAAACCTGTCATCCCTTGCCTTGCTGAGAGCAACGGAAGCAGCTTGCTGCAGAGCATTACTGACAACATGACACTTCTGTTCGAATACATTTTCTGGAAAATTAATTAAGGCTGTTGTATGCAGTCAGGCCAAAGGCAGAATGAGACAGGCAAAGACCCTGCCTCAGGTCTTTGTAATGTAAAAGTAGTTCCTTCCAGGACACAAAGGATATAGGAGTCAGGGCCCTTCCACTTCTGCCACTACCAAACACTCTCTGGTCTGCAGTTTCCATTTGTTCAAAACAATACAATGCATCCAGAAGCGGAAGGTTTGTCCAATCCCCAAAAGGTAACTTGTTTTGCTAAGCTGCTACCAGCTTTTATCCCACTGTGCAGTTGGAGAGAGTGAGAAGCTGCTACTCCCTCTTTCCAGGCAATTTCCTTTATCATAATCCCAGGCCCACTCACTTCCTCCAGTCCATCTGTCAGCTAACCTTTCCTCAGCTGAGAAGGTTTCCAGCTCCTGTAGCATGGCCTTCTGGCCATTTCTAGGCTTGGATCTGAAATCATGTTTGAACTAGATAAGTCCAAAATACAGACATGATCACGCAGATCTCGGTGACTTCACCAGAGTCATAACAGCAGGTAGTACCCAGCTCAGCCCCCATGTAGCCTCAGAGGAGGGGATAGCTGCCAGTAGTTGTTCCCCAGTGGTACAACTGTGCAGCTTGCTGCTTCCAGCCTAGCCTGGACATGCCTGCACTGCACTCTGAGCGACACCAGGGACCGAGCCTCTCTGCCCACCGAGCTGGAGCTGCAGCAAAGAGCAGAAGTGGGGAAAACTTCTACAGAGGATGATAGTTGAGCCCCAGACAATACTGTGTTTCAAATCTTCTGCAAGAGAACTGCAGAAAGAAACGTGGGATAATTTGGGTTCACCTATACATGGTAGGGCTCAAACCACTCACTATTGGCTGCCAAAAATTCCTGTTGCTGTTAGTAATGACCCTGGATCTGTTTGCTCTCTCTAATAGTGCCCACTCTTTATGTTGTGCTGAATCCCTGGTCCCAGTGACACCCTGTTGCAGTGAGTTCTACAGCCTGATGACAGGTCGTCTTTGAGCAGCTATTAATCTGGTACTTGTAACTTCCAGGCCAGCAGCTCTTTGGAACTTTGATGTGTGCCTGTACACTCTCAGAAAAAAAAAAAAAAAAAAGGCAAAAAAAACCCAAACAAACAACCCAGTAAATCTTTTCTAGACTGGTTGTTCCTTTATATATAGCTTTGTCACATCTCTTTTTGGTTGGACTAACAAAGATCAGACACTGATCTGCTTTCGAAAGCAAACATGGTACAGTGATCTTGTACAACCTGTCATGTCCAACCTGTCTCCCTCATCCATATTAGGTTCTCAGTGCATCCCAACTTCTGCCTGATCAGGAACAGGCCCCCTTTGAAGAAGTACTGTCCATCATGATTCAGTCCACAAAATCCTAAACAGTAACCACAAGGATTTGACAATTCATGTTTTATTGTCTGCCAAATGAGAAGCAGCCTGCTGTCAGCTTTTCCACGCTGACAGATAAAAGCAGACATGTTTCTGCTTGTCTTTGAATTTATCTGCTTTGAACACTTAACATTTTTCTGCCTTTAGCTAAAACAGCTTAACTTATTCCACTTTTCGTGTCTCCCTTTCTTTGAGACACAAACCACAGGGCTGTGTTCTATTTTTTCCCTTTCCAGATTAAACAGAAACAATGAGACTAGGAAACAATGTGCTAAATGGAACAATCACACAGAACAATGATGAGTAAAAAAGCTTTTCTTGGTGACGGGGTTAAATTATTTAAGCCCTATACACCGTATTTAAAAAAAAAGGTATACATGAGCAAAAGGTAAAACCACAAGGATGAGACAAGTTAGTATTATTCTGTATGAGACACGTTTTAAGCTTTAACCCAGAATAGAAGATGGAAAGTCGGTCACCACATTGTAAGAAGAAAGGCTACTGCCATGGAGAGGGAAAAAGTAGAGGCGACATAAAAAACCCACCCCCTTAGAGAAATGCAGATTATGAGATAATGGTTTCTAAGGAGTGTTGCTAAGCTATGAAGATGGCAAAAAATGTATTTAGGAAGCAATCAGTATGGGAAGATGACTTTAAAAGCTACAGGAGGTTACTTGTAAAGTGTACACCTAGGATTGGCATCTGTTACCTCCGCCACTCTGTCAACCTGATTAACGCAATCAATATTGTGTTCCTGTCAGTGCAGGAGGAATTGCAGGCATGCATCACAGCTCCAAAAGTATACAGAGCTATGGGAGTAAGCATCAGACACAGTCAGTCTGAAACAACCAGAAGCAGGTGTTTTTTCATGCAAAAAGTAGTAGAGCTGTGAAACTCCTTGCCACAGGAAGCTGTGGAAGTTAAAAGCTTACGTGATCACTAGGGGAGACTGAAGACATTCATGTAAGAGACAGTTCATAAATATACTTTAAACAGGAAATCCTTGAGCTGATAAGGGTTGGAGTCTGGAAAAGTATTATGGGAGAAATATAACTGAGGCTTGCTTGATGCATCAGCTTTCACCTTTTATCACCCGAATAAGCAAAGACCAGGAGTATGTCCATTTCTTCTGAAATGAGTGGCAATAAACACTCACATTCAAAAAACCATCAGTCAGACAGTATTTGAAATGTCCTCTGCAGAACCATAACAGTGGGACGAAAATTCTACATAGAAACACTGGTGATTGTTTCCTTTCTTCAGAAATGTAAAAAAAAATGATATACTACTTCACTCCCCCCACTTCAAATGTTGCATCAGGAAACAAGCAGAGATCTACCCTGCTAGCAGAGGTCCATGCAAGCCTCCTTCTCTTAGGGATGCTAGTGGTGACAACCACAAAACAATCCCAAGGCCCACAGTCCAATGTCCAGCGGGCCAGAGAAATCTCTATCACTTACCCTCTATATAAAACCAGCTCACCTGAGATAGCTTTGTTGTGGTGGCTGGCAGGAGTGGGCGACTGAACTTCTTCTGAGAGCCAATAGCCGCTGGAAATGGTGGTGCAGAGAACACAGCAGCCACACAGTTGATCTTGTTGATCCAGCTCTGCATTTCTTCTTGGCTCCTGGGGAAGAAACACATATTAAGTATCTCTTGATTCAGCCTCCTCTACCTCTTTCCCACTCCTTCAATTCCATTTTAAGAGTGAGAATAACCAGAAATGGACAAGTCTTAAGCGTCTGCTCAGTCTCCTGGTTTACCTTTGCAAGCAGTTAGTGTCAGTTATCTCAGTCATAGATTGGCTCATGAATAGGTCCATAACTCACCCTAGTGAGGTCCATAACTCATCCCTCTTTTCCTAATCCAATCCATGTGACACAGGCAACAGAGCCAACCAATGCCCTGATTCAAATATATGTCCTAAGATCTCAGCAGGACTGGATATCTCTAGGAGGTTTCATATGGATCTCAGTAGAAAAGGGCTCATGCACAAGACTCATGCATAGGTTTTTAATGCCAGAAGAAAAAGGCAGGTTCATCTGTTCTCTCTGGATATCACAGCCTCAAGAACTTAATCAAATTATTCTCATATTGAGTAGTAACTTTGTTTCTGACCAAAGCGTATCTTCTAGAAAGACATCTGGCTAGGACCTGATGACATCAGGAGACAGACAATCCAAGACTGCCTTTGGTCATTTGTTTTAATGATTAATCACCCTGACTGTTAAAAGTTTGTGCCCTGTTTCCAAATTGAATTTCCTGTGGCTTCAGCTTCCAGCTGCTGCATCTTGTTATGCCTTTCTCAGACAGATTAAAAAGCCTCTTAAAACCTGATTTTTTTTTCTCATGAACTACTTGTGCACTCTAATCAAATCACTACTTAATCTTATTTCTGATCAAATAAACAGATAGAACCTCTTACGCCTTTGCTTTAGCCTGTCCAGGCATGAATTTACCCCTCCTTCAGCACTGCTTTCTTTTCTCAACTATTGACACAAATCAGAAGAGAGCACTTAACTGGGCTTGGAAAAGCAGGACCCTCCAATCTGCTGTTTTAAGCTTGAGGACATTTGGTTTCTTCTCATAGTCTGTTGCCTTGGATGCCAGCGCATGATGCACACTAACTGCATTCTTCAGATCTTCCTCTGACAAAGCCTTTTCTGGCTTATATTCATCCTGCAGGAGTTAACAAGGGAAAAATGGCATCTTATTTCTCCATGTGCTACTCCTTTTTCCTTAACCTAGGGGAAACCCTTGTTCCACAGCCACAAACAGTATCAAATTATATGAACTAAATGCAACCTGACTTGAGCACTTCTGGTTTCCACTGCCTTTAACATAATTTCTTTTCTCTTTCTTTCTTCTTTTTTTCATCTCCTGGCAAGGGAGAGAAGTAGTTCCACTACCTGCTTGATAGGAAGAGGGATAAACAGGGAGTATTTGACTATCACAACAGCTGTGGACTATTTGTCTTAATTTCAGGAATCCTTCATGGCCAGCTTCCCAGCTCCACTGCTGGGTCCTGCTCGGGTTCTCAGCCTCCACTGCTCAGTTTTGATTTTTCTCAAACAACTACCTTTGTAGGTCCTCCTAGGCAGGCCCTCACACAGTGGAGAAGCCTCCTTATCAGTCTCCACAAAGCAAATATAGCAACCTCCTTTAAATCGCTCTGCTGAGGGTCTGTAAATGGCAACTACAGCACCATCTAGGTATTGACACAACAACAGTACCACTCTGTTGTAGTTTTACACCCCTGGTGGGCAGCCAAACACCACAACAACCACGCGCTCACTCTCCCTCCTCCCAGGGATGGGGGAGAGAGTTAAAGGGATAAAAGGAAAAGAGACTAGTAGGTTGGGATAAGAACAGTTTAACAACTGAACTACAACAATACAGAAAATAATAATAATGATAATAATAGTAATATATACAAATATGCAAATGAGTGATACACAGTAATACTGCTCACCACACAATGACCAAGGTTCAGCCCATTCCCAGACAGTGATCCCAAAACCACAATCCCAGAACAGAGGTAAGAACCCAAGTGTCTGAGAGAGCAAGATGACCCTGAGAGGGCAGGCGACCCAGAGGGACACAACCTGGTGTGAGAGAGAGAACTTCCAGACAGATCTTCATCTATATACTGGGCATGATGTGCATGATACGGAATATACCATTGGCCAATTTGGGTCTCAGTCCTAAACCTAAGGTTGAATCTTAGGCTAGTAATTGAGGCTGTGCTCCCTCCCAGTTTCTCCTGCACCTGCAGACACTGGCACAGCAGAGATGCTGAAAAGTCCTTGACTGTTCTGGCAGCAAGTATAAACATCAGTATGTTATCAGCCTTCTTCCCAGCACAATGCAAGACACAGCCTCTTACTAGTTACTATGAAGAGAGTTAACTCTGTCCCAGCTGAAACCAGGACACACTCCTAACATCAAATGACAAAAGCAGGGAGTTAAACTCCCCTGTGTTGCAAGCGTCAGCCTGGGATCAGTTGTTGATCTCCTGAGTGACAGTAGATGGATGAGGGCACAATCATGGTGTAGCCACAAGTTCAGTTCAAAGCCCACCTGACTATTAATGGGCTTTGGAAAACCAGAAGCTTCTTCAAGGAACAGTCACTTGCCGGCAATGCTGCATAAGCAAAGTTTCTGAAGAAGAGGCCATAGCAGTCTGCAACTGACTCCGTATCTCCCTCTTAGTACATCACAGAAATCAGTCTCATCTGAAACAGCCACCGAGGGAGGGGGTGTGATGGTTCCAAAACAGAGGAATAATTCACTGCAGGTGTGATAACTATTGATCCCTCCACTTGACCACAAGATTTACAAGATGGGATTTAGGTGACAACAGAGTGCAGGATGCAGAGCCAGTGCAGAGACAGCACCAGCCTGAACACCCAGAGAGGTACCCACACCAGAGAAAAGCCAGTTAATGTGCATAAATTGGTTTACAGGGCTTATCTGGCAGCACACAGACCAGGGTTGCAGCCAGAGGCAACTACACTGCTGCCAAGGCCATCTGTGCTCTTTACAGGTTGGGTTTGGTTGGGGCTCTCCAGCATGAGTTTCAATGGATAGGAAGTCACCAGCTGTGGCGACCACCTCCCAGAAGGGAAGACAAAGCATCCTGCTCCTCTGCCATATCTCATCCCTCTTCATAGAGGTCCACCTAGTGCAGGCCCAGAACTGGCTGCTGCTCAGACACTTCACTGGAGGAGATGCAGCTAAACAGAAACACTGTCACAGCACCACCTCCACTTGGGGCCAGACAAGGGCACAACCCACCACAGATCTGGAAGGCCTATCAAAAAGGCAGAGCATTGTGGCACAGATGACTAAAGGGTAGCCTTCAACCTAAGCATTTGTGACATAAGGGGTTTTCAAGGTCTGGTAGTGAAAAAAGCCAAATGTCCCTCCTCTTTCATAGCTTGAATCCAAGCAAGCTTTGGAAGAGTCTCCATACAATGAGGGGCTTTGCCTGCTCCCGCCTGGGCATTCTCTAAACCTTCTTCAAGGAAGATTTGAGAAAGTCCCTATCTGAAGGACAAGATCCAGAGGAGGCTGTCCAGCCCAGTGCTATCTTGCAGATGGAGGAAGCAAGCCCCCAGGTCAAGCCCCTTCCTTCATGGGTTCAAAAGCTGATTTATTTGGTGGTAGTTTTGGGAGGAATGACTGACTCCACTGTCCAAGGAGACTGGGAAAACTTCAGGGCCAGGAAGTGAATTTAGGCCACAGAAACATGATATTCTGGCTTTGCTCAAGTTACTGCCTAGAGACAGTGTCAGCTATTGCCTTGCCTGTTGCCTGCCAGCTGCCTCTGTGAGAAGTGTCCAAAATCCACAACCTGCTCTTGTGTCTAAACCTGTGCTAGAAGAACACCACATCTGGGCAGTCACAGAAGCAGATCTGGCTGAGAACCCCTCCTTACCGACAGAGAGCACTCACAATAATCCTTGCTAATCCCATGAGATCAACTGGGTGCAATTTACCTTGACAGCTGAGGCTCTGCCAGCTTCTCCAAAGGCACTGATCAGCATACCAGAAATGTCTCCACATAGTTGGCCAGCCTCAGAGAAAGCTGTAAGGATGTGTATGTGCCATCAAAATTTCTCACCTAAGGACTCCAACTCTTTTCAATTGGCAGGGAATGCTAGGGGAGCAGGAACATCTGTATCTCCTATGCCATCAAGGACAGCATGTGCTTTGATGTGCTGTGTCACTGTGGAAGTTGAGCTGAAACGGAAGGCAGCTCACCAGTTAGACCAAGACAGCGGCAAGAAATATGAGGAGCCAGAAAAGAACTGTGACCTATTCATTAAGTGAAGGCTGATACGAGTGCAGCACACAATGCAACAACATGGTTGCAGGAGTGCTGCCACAACCAGGGGTTTGGCTGCTTAGACCAGGGGGCTTGCTTCAAGAAGCCTGGTCTACTGGGGGCTGATGGGATCCATCTGTCCGAGAGAGGGAAAAGAATCTCTGGTCATAGGCTTGCCAACCTGCTAAAGAAGGCTTTAAACTAGTATTGCTGGGGGAGGGGAGGCTAAATCCATCCCACTCTTACCACTCCAGTGACAGAAAAGCCAGCAACAAATGCCCAGAGCCTGGAAAAGGTTCACAGGCTGGCATGAGGGTGGCTGGAGAGCAGCACACAGTAGGTCCAGCCTCTTTGGGAGCCCAACTTAAGTGCTTCTACATGAATGTACGTAGTATGACGAATAAACAAGAGGAGCTGGAGATGTGTGCACGCCTGCAGGGGTATGATCTTATTGGCATTACGGAGACATGGTAGGATGTATCCTACGACTGGAGTGTTGGAATGCAGGGATACAGGCTCTTTAGGAAGGACAGGCAGGGTAGATGAGGAGGGGGTGTCGCCCTCTATGTCAAAGACCAGCCTGAGTGCATGGAGCTCCACTTGGGGGTAGGTGAGGAGCCGATGGAAAGCTTGTGGGTCAGGATCAAAGGGAGGGCAGGGACAGGGGACATTGTACTGGGGGTCTGATACAGGCCACCTGACCAGGAAGAGCAAGTGGATGAGGCCCTCTATAGACAGACAGGAGCAGCCTCACCCTCACAAGCACTGGTCCTCATGGGGGATTTCAACCACCCTGATATCTGTTGGAAGAACAACACAGCACAGCATAGGCAGGCCAGGAAGTTCCTGGAATGTGTTGATGACAACTTCCTTCTCCAAGTGGTAGAGTAGCCAATCAGGAGAGGGGCTATACTGGACCTTTTTCTCACCAACAAGGAAGGGCTGCTGGGGAATGTGGAACTCAAGGGCAGGCTGGGATGCAGTGACCACGAGATGGTGGAGTTCAAGATCCTCAGGTTGGTGAGGAGGGCGCACAGCAAACTCACTACCCTGGA